TTGTAAGTAAGAATTAGAATCAATAGGAGGAACCACCAGAAAGAGGAAAGAAAAAAAAATAGCAAATAGTATGCTTTGATCTGCATTCAAATTCCATAGTTCTTTTTTTGGATAGATAGCATTTTCCATCATGAGGCCTTTGGAGATGTCTTAGATTCTTGTATTGCTGAGAAAGGTTAAGTCTATCAGTATTAGTCACTGCACAACGTGGCTGTTACTGTGTACAACATTCTTCTGGTTCTGCTCACTTCACTCAGCATCAGACCTACAGAATTCAGGCAAGTCCCTGCCTTTACTCCACCATCTTGGCTCTACCTCCAAAGGGCCACCTTTTAATGTAAGACAGAGGTGAAGTTGGAGAAGATGTGACTGACGTGAGATGAAGACAAGAGAAAAGGGTGCTTGTTCTGAAAGGTCTCAATTTCTTTCAGTGAAATATGAGATAAAATTCTTAGCTGAGATGGGGGGTTGGGGTAAGGGAAGGCACAGAAGGCTTAAGGAGGGACAGAAAGGATTAGACTGCAAATCTCATACTTCTTCCCCATATGAGTAGTATTTTCTAATTTAAAAATAAACATTTTTAAATGACAAAGTAGGGGAATGTGTTCATGTTTCCAAAAAATTCTTAAATAATAGTAAAATTAATAGAAATAAAGTGTCTGGAGTCAAAATGGCAGAGTAGAAAAGCATTCAACCAAGTTCTCCCAAATTCCCTTCCAAACAACTATAAAATAATGCCACAAATCAAATTCTGAAGTGGCAGAACCAACAAAAGGTCGGGTGAAACAATTTTCCAGCCCAAGACAACGTAGGAGGTCAGTAGGAAAGGTCTGTCTCACCAGGGTGATGGTTGGGATTGTGCAGGGCAGGCTACACCACAGTGCCAGCAGCAGGTCTTGGAGGAGGCTACACTGGTGGTAATAGCAACTTTAAGAGCTCTCAGGCCATGGAAGGTGGAGTGGGTAGGTATTGGATAAATGATCAGAAGAAAATTAAAGGGGACCCTTTGCTGGTGCTGGGTTCAGGACCCTGTTGCTTTGCCTAGGCACAGCTCTGGGTTACAGGTCCAGGGCCAAAAGAATGCACTTGCAGCCACAAGGGAGCAGGGGCCCTAGTTGCAGTTCCAGGGTGGATATGAGTTCTTGGTTTGCAGCGCACTTTACACATTATCTAATTTGATATTCATAACAACCTTATAAGCTAAGTGCTATTATTACCTCCATTTTATTTATTTAATTTTATTGCTAAAAATAATACTATATTTAAAAAATTGGTTATTAGAAACTACTTCAAAAGAGAAATCTAGGAAGTAAGTTCTTAATATGTATGGGGGAAGGGCAGAAAGAGAAAAAAGGAAAATTGAACCTTTGCTGTCCTTTCCATTGATCTGGAAGTTAAGACAACAAAAAAAATTTTTTTCTAATAAGTAGAGGCCATATCCAGTAAAGCCAGTCCTGCAACATCCACATTCCAGTCTCTGAATTTGCACTGCAAAATGCCTACAAGGACTTCTCTTTCTCAAATTGCCAATACACTACTGCAACAACTCTCTTTACAATGCCTGTAACATATTAGGCAGTTAATAAATTTCTACTCACTGACTCGTCCCTTTTTGGAACCAAAACTTAATCTGCTATGTGAGCTCTTCTTCATGAGTTCTCATGCTTCTGCTCCTTCAGAAAACAGGAACTTACATCATCCCTTTGGATTACAATGCCCAGAAGTCTATGCAACCATGCTCTGTTAGCCTCAACGCTTTGCCTTATCATATCAGTTGCAGTACACTTCACATTTTTTGAGGTTTCTTTTGGCTCTTGTGTTTGTACGAAAAGTTCCTGCTCATCTCTGTTTTTTTTTTTTTTTAAATTCAGAAGTGCTTTAAATTCCTCTATACCATCAAAGATCCATTTCCCCACTGTAGTACTATACTGAGCTATGCACAGTAAGTTATCCTTGGTTGTAAGCCTCTATATCTTTTGTTTTTTGGAATATTGTATTCCAAGACTTTCTTTCATTTTTAGCAGAAGCTGCCATGTCCTGTTTACCCCTGACTATTTTTCCTTGGTACTTGACCTGCTTCTTTCTGGATGCTTGCATTATTTTTTCTCTGATGTCAGACCTCTGGATTGTGGCTATGATACTTCTGGGACTTTCCTTTGGGGATTCCTGTCAGAAAGTAAGTTGTGTAGTCTTTCCATATTTGCTTTCTGGTTCTAATATGCCTGGGAAGTTTTGATTTATGACTTCTTGAACTCTAGTGTTCAGGCTTTTTAAAAAAATCATGGTTTTTAGGAATCCAATTATGTTTAACTCTCTTTGACCTGTTTTCCAGGACAGTTATTTTTGATAGCAGATAACATACTTTTCTTTTTTTTTTTCCCCCAATCTTTGGATTTCATTCTATTATTTCTTGCTGGATTACAGAGTTGCTGATTTCTGTTTGGTCGTTCTAATTTTCAGGGATTCTAGTATCTGGGTAACACTTGCTACTTTATCTCCTAAACTATTCTCTTTCATGCTTCATTTCTTCTAGGAGTTCTTATTCTAGAATTCTAATAATTTTGTTGGTATTTTCTTTGATATACTCCTCTCTCCACCTTTAGTTTCTGAATTCAGACTTTATGCCATGGTCAAACTCCATTCCCTGTAGGGCTTTTAGGTGTGATGGTGGGTCCTGCTCATTTTCATCTGGGGTCCTCTGGGTGTTGAGCATGATCTTAACCCATTTTGGGGTTAGGCCGACTTGGATTTTTGAGGTATAGAGTATCTTTTAGGGTCTTTTCTGGCAACATAAGGTAGAGCATTAGGAACCTCACAAGCTTTGAGCCTGAAGAATCTTGGAATGATCTGTAGCATTGCCCAGATCCTTGTCTGCTGCCTGCTACAGCTAGCAGGGCTTTATCAAATGACTTCTGAATTGCTGTTACTTTCACACATACACCTTCACACACAAAACTGTGCATGCTACATTTATCTCTGGCCACCCTTCAGGAGTACAATGCCCTGTACTGGTAGCCCCTTTGCAACTGTTCTTGGGCTTCTCACCTCTTGTGCAGTTCTGGGGTGGAAAAGTCACTTTTAGTTTCTCATTGGATTTCATAATCATTAATTAGTTTAGTGTGAACTTTAAGGTTTTGGTGGATGAAGTATGTGGAAGATGAGTAGTCTGTCTCCCATTCAGGCAGCCATTTTGGCTAAATGTGTATCATTCAAATTTTACAAATGAGGAAACTAAGGTTGAAAGATGTTTAAATGACTTGCTCAGCATCACACCACTACTGTCTGAGACAAGATTCAAATTCAGGTCTTTATTTCAGATCTGACATTCTAGTCCACAATTAGATAGTTGAAGTGTTGTACCTGTAATCTCCAAATATTAAAAGACCCAGAGCAAGTTCTCCTGTGAATTTTTAAATCCTTTATTGTGGAATGTGGAAAAAACATAGATAAGAATTATAGAATATGCAATGAAAAGTCATAAAAGGGTTGTGATAAATGAGAACAAGGATTCATATATATCAGCTGTTGCCCCAAATCACAGAAGTGAGGGTCCTCTACTAGGAGCATATGAAATCTGGGAAATAAAACTCACCTCTATTCAGAAATTTAAAAAACCTCTCTAAAAAGTGATTTTTAAGTCCAAATGAGATCCATTGTTATATACACAACATCAAATCAAACCCTTTCGTACTACTGTAGTTAAAGGCTTTCGTGACTTCCTATGACAAAAAAAATATCATCACCTGGCAACTGATATTATAGTAATAAGCTCCTCTAAATATCGGTAGACTGATCTATGTGTGTTAAATGGATTGTATATATGGTCCTATAACTTTACTTGAAACCTTATCAGCCAGTTTGTTCAGCTAGTTTGTTAGGACCTACCACAGACATTGTGCTCAACTAGAATAACCATTAAGAACCCAATGTCACATCCATACCATGAGGTGGCATCAGATAACTTTTAAGAAAGAAAAGTATGTTATCTGCTATCAAAAATAACTGTCCTGGAAAATAGGTCAATGAGAGATAATTTAAACATGACTGGATTCCTAAAAACCATATTTTTGGGGGGTATTTTTTGGTTTAAGGCAATTGGGGTTAAGTGACTTGCCTAGGGTCACACAGTTAGTAAGTGTCAAGTGTTTGGTCTGAGGCCAGATTTGAACTCAAGTCCTCCTGACTTCAGGGCCAGTGCTCTATCCACTGTGCCACCTAGCTGCCCCTAAAACCATGATTTTTAAAAAACCCTGAATACTGGAGTTCAAGAAATCATAAATCAAAACTTCCAGAAAGCAGATAATCATACTGGCAGAAATGTATTTCTTAAGTATTTGGTCAGTATTTCCTCACTATCCAATCTCATCCAATATGGACAAATAAGACTTTTAAATCCTGATGGAAATGATATAAGGTGGTGTCAAGCTCATAACATACTCTTCCTGATATTAGTATTAGTCTGATTCCTATTACTGTTCATTTTTTTCCCAAGTTTTTCTGGACCTCTCCTTTTTTTTAAGAAGTCAGTCCTTTGTTTTTCCATTTTTATGGAAATAAGAAGCCCTTCTTGCAACACATCAGAGGAAGTGTGAAGCAGTATAGTAAGTGCAATTAAGCTAGCTCACTTTCAGCAAGTCCAGGACAATCAGCTAATTTCATCTGACTCATTGTTTGGAAGGGAAATGAACGAATGGAATCTAACTAATGAAACTAAGAAAACTTCTGCCAAGTTCTGAGTCAGTATACCCTGATCTTTTCAAAAGTGTGTTAAGAGGTAAGGAGAAAACAAAAAGTCAAGAAAGTGTGAAAGACCCTAGGTCTTTCTATAGTTCGCTCTGGGGAAGGAAAAGTTACTCCTATATTTTTTTCTGAGAACTTCAGAAAGGGTAGCCCCTTAGGCTAAATGAAGTCTTGGAGAGGGAAGAGAAGAAAACTATTTTCCCCAATCTTTTTAGCATCAAGTGTTAATCAAATACTAAGGTTCCCAACAACATTTTTACCTAGATACCGCAGCACAGCTTCCAAAGGTTTTCGTACCACTTGTTTTAATACCAGTGGATTCTGGGAGGCTTCTGGTAATCGAGCAGTACCTACCAAGACAATATTTGAGGGTTAGATATACTAATGTCCTATATATTTACTTTATTATTCAGCAGTATCAACTATAATATTAAACAGCTCAAATAAAGATCAACTTGCAATTGTATATTAAGAAAATATACCCATTAGGAAACTGAAGATCTGGAATAGGGAAGGGTGGTAGTCTGTCAGTAAAAAAATTTATTAAGCACTTATTATGTACTAGGAACTGAGCTAAGGGATTGGAGATACACAGAAGGGAAAAGACCGTCCTTTCCCCCCAAGGAGCTCATAATCTAAAAGGAGAAACATCAAGCAAACAAATACAGACAGACTATATGCAGAATACATAGAAAATAATTAACAGAGGGAAGGCATTTGAATTATGAACTAGTAAGAGAAAGATTTCCTGCAGAAGGTGAAATTTTGGTTGGGACTTGAAGGCAACTACGGAAGCCACGAGGATCAGACCAGGAAGGAAGGCATTCCAGGTATGGGGGTCAAGAAGAGAAAATGCCTGGATTCGAGAGATGGAATATCTTGTTCAAGAAACAGTCAGAAGGTCAGTATAACTGGATCAAAATATACATAAAGGAAGGTGGGGAGAGAGTGTAAAGTGTAAGACAGAAAAGTAAGAGAAACAGTACAGAGCATTTGAGTGAAGATCAATACACATGTGATATTTTCTGTGAGTATACAGTATGGACCTACTGAAATAGAGTAAGAAAACAGATGAGGTACTTGTGAATAAGAACACAAGCCTGCCACAGTTATCCTGACATCTCCTGAAGGTCCTTCTGTGCTAAAAGAATAGTATCTAAATAAATTACACTGGCCCTGAAGTCAGGAGGACCTGTGTTCAAATCCTGCCTCAGACCAAATACTTGACACTTACAAGCTGTGTGACCTTGGGCAAGTCACTTAACCCCAACTGCCTTAAAAAAAAAAAGGCTAAGAGAAAGGATAAATAAGATTTAATGGGACAAAATTCTATAGGTACAGTCAGCCTAGAAGGAATGGGAAACTCTCAAGAATGTGATTCTAAACAAAAGAGAAAAAATTACAATGAGGAAAGAAAAATTAAACTAAAGAAAATAACTTTCACAGGAGACTAATAAGCCAACTTAGATTTAAAAAAATAAATACACACAGAGATGACAAAAGCAAGGGTAAGTAAAAGAAGAATAATACCAAAAAGCAGTATGGTCTTGTAAGAATAGTGTGAGGATGGCAAATGCTTAAAATGAGCTGAGGCTGATCATGAACAAAAGGATACCAAAAAGAAGAGAAGAACCGAAACATTAAAAAAGCTGCTTGGAGTGCATGGAACGTTAACCACCAATGAAAATAACAGTTGCTACTCATAGAGAAGCAGAATTAAAACCTTTTTGTTTTTGTTTTCTCTTCCAAGAAAAATGACTTACCTAGGATAAAAAAGAAAATAAGATAACTACTTAACCCTCAATAAATCCAAGTGATAAAGTCCAAAAAAACCAACCTCAAGAAACACTGAAAGATTAGTGGATATGACTGCTGTTCTGTTCATCTTTGTAAGACAGTAGACAAAGTGAAAGAAAAGGGTAAATGTTGCTTTATTTTAAAAAAAAAATAAAGGTAGGGGAGAAGTGTTCATTACCTATAAGATGAAGTTCAACTCTTAGAAAAATTCTAGAAAGATATTATTCAGAAATGGAACATGCCATTCTAGAATGACATTTTTTCTTTCCTGGAAAGGTTACTAGACTGGTAATCAGGGAAAAGCTATGGACACAGATTTTAGAAAAGTACTGGATCAAGCCTCATGCTGTCTTTGTACTTAAAATAGAAAGAAGTGGGCTAGATAATGGTACAGTTAATTGAATTTGGAACTGTTGGATGACTAGATTCAAATATTAACTGGTAGGAATTTTGCCTTTACTTCTAACTTCAGGGATCTGTCTTCTTTGCTTGTGTGCTATATAACATTTTTATCAATGACTTGGATAAATGAGACATGAAGATGGGAGGACAGAAAATGCATTTTATAACATAACCAGGATTCAGAATGTCTCAATAGGCTATAATAATGGATTGAATCCAATAAAATGAAATTTCAAACAGATTAATGGAAGTTGAAGATGGTTTTTAAAAAATCAACTCCTTAAGTAGAAGATGAGTAAGTTTATTATCTAACTTTGGTGAAAAGGATCTGAAGATTTTAAGCTCAATGACTGAACACTGTGATGTGGCAGCCTTGGATTAAGAAAGCAATCTTAAACACAATGATGGAGGTGATAGTCTGGCTCAACTCTGTCCTAGTCAGGATGATATTAAAAACACTACAAGTCCAGAGCAGAGAAACAAGAATGGTAAGGGAACAGAGAACAAGCTATACTAGGATCAGTTAAAGTAATTAGGAAAGTTTAGTTTGGAAAAGAGAAAACTTAACAGGACATGATAGCTGTGTCTTTAAGTTTCCAAAAGGCTATCATGGGGAAAAGGGAAGGAGTCTTGTTCTATTTGACTCAGGGCAATGGGTCGAACTGCAAAGAAACAGATTTGGCTCAAAGTGAGGAAAATTTTCTTATCAATTAGAGCTGTCCAAAAAACGGAGTGAGATATTTTAGGGAAGTAGTGAGGTTCCCTTTGATAGTTTTAAGTTAAGATTTGATGACCATTTCTTAGGGATTTTCTGTAAATATGCAGTCATTCTTATTTATAGGCAGAAAGGACTAAATAGCCTTAAGTCTTTTTTAACTGAAACTTTACGTGATCTTTTCCCTCTTTACTCCACATGGTTTCCCTCTTTACTCCACATAGCTCTTCAAGACCTATCAATAGTTTATTTGTCAAGTGAAAAGTCCCATTAACTGCTCTCAATGTAAAATTTATATTCAACACTGTGCATTTAGCAAAGAGTTACTATAAATTGTTCCTTCCTTTCAGCAGGGAAACTCTGTACTCTTGGAACAAAGGAGATGAAAAAACAGTTCCAGTCACAGAAAGACTCACAGCCAGCCAACTATATGATTTGTAATTAACTTTAAAAGATATTTAACTAAATTCTTATGTCAAGGGAATCTTACATTCTGCTTTGATAGCAGCACTGTTGATAGGCATGTAAGGGTGTCTTGCTGCATGCCAAGGACGCAATATATCTCGACACAGGCGCCTGGCAATCCTTGTCAGTTTGGTTGTATGTAGATAGAAGGCTTGTCTTGTCTTCATAGCAAACTTTGGACTCCCACTGTTTCGCACAGGGATGCCATGAGGACTCTAATAATGGAAAACATATATAGACATATTACCATATATGGAGTTCATTTTTATTCTGGAGATGCTTTATAAATACTAACATCTTTATCAGAAAAGGACAACGTTTTTGGCTAACTTCGTCATTTTGGTGATGGAGACACAGGGAATTCAAACCATCCTGGTGCAGAGCAGAAATGTACAAGATTATAGGTTAGGTTAGAAGCTCTCTAAGGTTCCTTGCAACTTAAACATTCTACCCTCTATGATTTTATTTCAGAACTTCTACATTCTAAAGCCTCTTCAAGAATAACAAATCATTGCAGAGAAATGACCCCCTGCCATATGCCAATCCAGCATCCTTGCCAATGGCAGAGTCATTGCTGTCATACACCTGTCTACCCTCTACATACCATGTTGTTGCGGTTTGGTCCTGGTCTCTCACCATCTAATCGGGTTGGCATTTTCAAGCCACCATATTTCTTCCAGTATGTCCAGCAAGATGCACAGAGACGACACTGCATGTTAGGGGGACCCCAAGAATACCACTGGTAAGACTGTGTGGCTATGGATAACAAAGTTGAAAATATATATATTCTTAAGCGGAACTATTTCAAAGATCATTTATAGATTATCCATACCATCCCCACAAAAAAAATTTAAAAAATCATTCAGTTTGCCCTCAGGAAAACTAAACACTTAAAAATAAAAGGAAATTATGAACTGTTACAAATGTAGTATTAGCATCATTCTTACTACTAAACAAGTTAAAGACTCAAAGACTCATCAGTCTCCTTGATATGTGAGCACCTAATATCAAGTTAATCCTTAATAAGACTTCCCACATTTGCAACCTATCATCCAGGAGACTCTTTCCAAAGTGTGTTTTTAGTTACCAATAACACTAACAAGAACTAATGCCTACTAGGGTTTGCCTAATGGTAATTTCTTTAGGCCTGTAATAAATTTGGATGTGCATATTTTCATTCATTTTCATTTCACCCTATCCTTTCCCCCAGTAGATGACATTATGTCCTAATAATCTTTCCCTGTGATAAAAACAGAGACTAAACCAAATAAGATACTTTTAAGAAGCTTGTTCTGCAAAGGGGGTGGGGGGGAAGGCAGCTACACCATCAGTTTATCATAGATAAGGTATGGCATTGGTTGATGCTATGTCTTTGAGGAACTTACCATAGCAGCTTTCACAGGCCCGGCCAGCTCCTGGGCTCTGACCCTGTACTCCGGTGCCATTTACAACACCAGCCTTGGCATTATTTACATTAATCTGATTTGGATTTGGCTTGTTACTTTAAAAATAAAGACAAAACAGGAAGTCACTGGAGATGACATTTGATTTTCAATTTAAATTCAGATACAACAGCTCTCAAACCTAACATATACTTTTCAGAATGTGACAACAAAATTGTTAAAAAGCCCCCATAATTATACTTGAAAGAAACTGGCTAACCATAGTTAGCCAATGCATATACACATCCACCAAAACTGTTAAATAAAATAGAAATAACCAATAACTTTATAATATACAAGTGGGAAGATAAAAGGAAAATCTAATACAAAAAGAAAAAATGGACTCATTTATCCTAAATTCATGTCAGCTATCCACAAGATTTAAAATTTAGTTTAATTTCCTTCATTACCATAAAACTAAAGGCACTGGGGATTTTACAAATCACTCCTTAAATGATTAACTATGTGCCAGGTACAGGAAATAGGAAACAAAAACAAAACAGTACCTGCTCTCAAGAAATTCATATTCTAATGGGGGAAACAACAGGCACTGATTATTTATTTTTGTGCAGAGGGAATATAGGAACTCCTACCTCTCTATCCCTTAATTAACTCTTCAAATTGTAAGGTAATCATTTCAAACTCCTACATCCACAAGAGTAACCTCTATTCTTTGGTCTAAACCCTAGATCATATCCTGTCTGCCAATTCAGAACCATCACCTTTCTCACACTTGGATTAAAATTCACCTTCTACAAGACATTATTTCTGATAAGTTGCATCTTGTTTAAGGATTCAACGGCTTTTGGGACAGCTAGGTGGTCGATGGATACAGCACCAGGATAAAGCCTCGAGTTCAAATCTGGCTTCTGATGCTTCTTAGCTGTAAAACCCTGGATAAGTCACTTAATCTCTTTTTGCCTCAGTTTCTTCATCTGTAAAATGGGGATAATAATAGCACCTACCTCCCAGGGTTGTTGTGAGGATTAATGAGATAATAATTATAAAGACTGAATGCACACTGCATGGCACAAAGTAAACTATATAAACGTTAGCTATTATTATTAACACCACAATAAATTCCAAATGACTATAAGATCTTAATATTAAGGAAAACATAGAAAAATTTGCAGATAAGTAGATCATATACCTTTCACAGCTATGGAGTAACCAAACTTGGGAAAGAAGTGATAATATGATAAAATGGATAATTTCAGTTATATAAAACTGAAAAGCCTTTGCATTAAAAAAATTACTGCAACTGTGATTATGGATTTGGTTGAGTGAGGAAAAGTATTTGTATTAAATATCTCTGAGAAGGGTCTGATATTCAAAATAGATAGACAATAGAAATATAACAAACCAAAAGATATTTCCCAATAGCAAAGTGAGAAAAGATATGCAAACTAGTAACAACCATACTTTAGAAATGTTACAAATCATTAAAATTAAGAGATATGCAAATCAAAGTAACTCAAAGATTTCATCTCTCACCCAGCAAACTGATAAAGACATCAAAAGCAGATGTTGGGAGGATTCTGGAAAGACAGGTATATCAATGAACTGCTAGTGGAGCTCTGTACTAGTCTAATCATTAAGAAAAGCAATATGGAATTATGTGATGAAAGCCACTTAAATGTCCATATATATTCTGAAGGTTCTCCACCCCTGACCCAGCATAAGGCATTTGCCCTCAAGAAAGTCAAGGACAAAAAGAAAAACCTCACACAAACACCAAAATAATTACAGGAAGGAATACTTTGTGTGGTAGAAACAATTAGAGAAAAGGTGGATATTCACTTACTGAGGATTATGCTTTACTACCCTCCAACACTGTGAGTTAGAGGCAAATTGGTCTTTTTTCCTAACTCCTGAGTCAACTCAATTGGCTGTCCTCCATATCTAGAATACACTATACCTTTCTTGATCCCAATGGCTAGTGCTCTTCTTCCCCACCTTTCCCCCTGCCAATTATCCTGCATTTAACTACTTTTTTATATATGTATTAATTTATTTTATGCCACATATTTATGTCTATATTTGTCGCCCCCTTTAGAATGTAAGCTCACTGTCAGTCAGGATTATTTCATTCTTTGTACTTGTAACCCCAGATGTAGCATACTGCCTCGCACATCACATGAGCTTAATAAATATCTGCTAAAGAATATCAAGGCAATGGGGCAGCTAGGTGGCACAGTGGATAAAGCACCGGCCCTGGAGTTGGGAGGACCTGAGTTCAAATTCAGCCTCAGAAAAATAACACCCTCTAGATGTGTGACTCTGGGCAAGTGCAACTGCCTCCCCGCCACTCCCCCACCCCCAAAAAGAAAGAAAGAAAGAAAGAAAAAGAATATCAAGGCAATTAATTTTAACCAGTGGAAAGGAAGGGGGCCCAACAGTAGCAGATCTTAAATGGTAATCAAAAAATTGGTACTAGTTAAGAAATGACAAGGAAAACTAATTAGGCACACATACAGAAGCAGATGAATATAGTAGTCTAATAGTTCATAAACCCAAAAATCCTAACTACTGGGGCAAGAACTCACTATCTGAGAAAAAATCTGTGGGGAAAATTGGAATACAGTTTGGCAGAAACTAGATATGGAGTAATACCTCAATAAGCCAAGATAAGCTCCAAATGGGAACCTAAGGGTGAGGTCCTAAACAAATTAGAGGAGCGAGAAAGAAATTACTTGTCATTTCTACAGATGGAGTAAGAGTTTCACGACCAAACAAGAAATAGGCTTATGGAAGGTAAAGTAAAACCAATCCAGCCAAAATTAGAAGAGAAGCAGGTATATGAGAAAAAAATCTTTGCATCAGGTTTCTCTGATGAATGTCTCATTTCCAAGATATACAGGAAACTAATAAAAATTCCTAAAAATAAGAGCCATTCTCCACTCAATAAACAAATAGTCAAAGGACATGAATAGGCAGTTTTGAAGGGAAAAAATGTAAGCTATCAATAGGCATATGAAAAATGTCCCATAACACTAATAATTAGAGAAAAGACAATGAAAATAATCTTGAGATTCCAACTCACACCCATAATATTGGCAAAGTTGATAAGAAAAAAAATTCAATGGCAAATGACAGTGGGGCCGTGGAAAACAAGTGTGTGAATGGACTGTTGATAGAACTGGGGATTGTTGGTGGAGCTTTGAACTGTCGGTCTAGCCATTCTAGAAAGCAATTTGGAATCACGCTCAAAAAGCTATTAAAATTTGCATACTCTTTGACGAAGCAATAATCCCAACTAGGTATATACCCCTAGACAAAGAGGAAAGGGACATTCATATGTACAAAAATATTTACAGCTATTGTTGGCAAAAACTTGGAAACAATGCCCATCAATTGGGAGAATGGATGAAGAAGTTATGGTAAATGAATGTGGATAGAATACTATTGTGCTATACAAAATGATGAAGTGGATGATTTCAGAAAAACTGAAAGTTTTTATGGGAAGATTTATATGAACTGATGCAAAGTACAGTGAACAGAACTAGAACAATTCATATAATAATAATATTATAAAGACAAATTATCTTGAATGATTTAGCTATTCTGATCAATACAATGATCAAAGATAATTCAAAGGACTTATGATAAAAAATGCTATCCACTGCCAGAGAAAGAACTAATGGAATCTGAATGCAGAAGCAAAATTTTTTTCATTTTATTTTTCTTGCCTTTTTTTTTTTTTTGGTAAGGCAATTGGGGTTAAGTGACTTGGGCAAGTGTTTGGTCTGAGGCTGAATCTGAACTCAGGTTCTCCTAACTTCAGGGTCAGGGCTCTATCCATTGCGCCACCTAGCTGCCCTGCCTTTTTTTTTTTTTTTTTTGCAACATGGCTAACATATAAATATGTTTTGCATGATTTCACATGTATAATTGATATATTTCTTGCCTTCACAATGAATGGAAGAGTGGTGGGAAGGAAAGAATTCAGAACTCAAAATTTAAAAAAAAAAGAACACTAAAAATAAATAATAAATTTTTGTAAAACAAAAAAACAAACTGTTTTCAAATACTTTGGAACTATGACCAACACAATGACAAACCATAATTCCAGAGGGCTCACAGTGAAACATGCTACCTACCTTCTGATCACGTGGTGACAGACCCAGAGTACAGACTGAGACATATTTTTTGGGACATGCACAATGAAAGAACTTGTGGAACACAGGTTTTGTTTTTCATGCTTCCTCAATGGGGCTCAGGATGGGGAAGGTGGGAGGGAGGGGGGGAGGATCTTCATGAAACTAAAATAAAATTTAAAAAATACTTACTGATTTACTGAAGGGCTAAACAAAATGTGTTATTATCAATGTTCGGTAAGAAACAATGAATATGATAGATAGATAAAGAGGCATGGGAAGACTTAAACAGATGCAAAGTGATGCTAATGTAAGCAGAACCAGGAAAAATATTATGCACAAT